GCTTTGGTTCTTCAGCAAGGGGAGGGGGGCGAGGGATCGGGGGAGACTGGGGAGGTGGGATCACCTTCCTCTGAGGAAGAGGAGACTCAGGAGGTATGAATATCTAGAGGAAGACACCGATAAGACAGAAGACGAGAGAGAAAAAGATGGAAAGTAGGAATGAAGAAGAAAGAAGCAGGTGATTACAGAGAAACTTCAACGCAATTAAGCAAAAGAATTTCAGGAATTGAATGGAAACAGAATTTGCTGAATCCGTAGATCCTTCCCGTCTACCTTATCCACCTCCCTGTTGTGGTCTTCTCGTGAGCGTTTGGGGTTGGACATGACAATGACGCCTTCTGTGAGCCAATCGTCTGGCTGCTGCTTTTTCGGACGATCCTTACGGGCAATTCCCAGCTTGCCTTGCAGTTCCTCAATGAGCCGGTCCTGGGAGTTGCTCTTGTGGAAAATCAGGGGGCCCATCTTCCTTCGTATCAGGCCATCTCGGTACATGGGGTGGACGTTTTGAATCTCCTTGGTACGTCTAATAACTGATTTGATCTGGGACAGCAGTACAAACTCCTTGAGATGCCACATGCCTCAAGAATGGTTGATTATTGTCCAAAGAAACCAATAAAGACAAGCAGGGATCTAGGGAAGCATTCAGATGCAATCCAGGTGCAAAATCAGTTAGCATGAAATAGTTGGGAGTTTGCATACATGGTGGTGGTTAGCACTGATTATCAAATTACTGTTGGTTATCAAGTGCACAGAGGTACCATTGGTACCACTGGTTATCAAGCGCAGACACAGCAACATACAAGTTCTTACCATTACAATTTACCATAAATGGAGTTTAAACTAAACAATTAGAGGAAGAATAATTCAGGGTGTAGAGGAACAATTATGACTTTCATCCATCTGACTAACATGTTTCATTTACAGCAGGCATGCTCAGTCCTGCTCCCGGACAGCCACTTTCCTGCACATTTACACCTGCACAGTTCAGGTGTGTTTAATTAGGGATAGAGCTAAACTCTGCATAAAGGTGACTTTTCAGGAGCAAGATTGGACACCCTTTATTTAGATGCTGGCAATCAAACCACTGCAAGACTTGTCTGAAATAACTCCAAAACAAATTTCACAGCATTCCAATCAACAAGCATCGCAGTCCTATCCGTACATGTCCAGAGGCTGAGATCCTGTCCATCGTGCCAGCCATATGGAGCATGGGAAGGTCCATCTGGGCATCTGGGGTTCCAGGGCAAGATGACGGAGTGAGGGAGTCATCCATCCAGCTTGCCTCGGTCATGGGGGTCAAGGAGCCATCAGGTCCTTCGTAGGCCATCTTCAATTCCATGTCAGCCCAGTCAAGATCACTCCTGCAGTCCGACTGATCCTCCAAGAGTCCATCCCCAATTTCACTCTCTGTGTGAGTGTCTGGATGAATGTTGCTGCGATCCACTACTACTATTGTCTCCTCGTAAACTTCTGGTTGCACTTCCGAAGCGAGCCGTGAGGCCGCTGATGCTGTGATTGGAGCCTCGTTCTCAGGCATGCTGAAGCTCATGGCAAGAAGTTTATCCAAGGCATCATCAAGAGATGGCTCATAGGTTGCTGATTCAAGCCCAGTGGGAGGAAGGGTTTTGAGAGAAACAGCTGAATCAGGCTGTCCCGATGATGGTTTTGGGCTTGGGGACTTGGGAACCACTAGAGATGAGGAAGAGGATAGGATTAGAGGGGGTGAAACAGCTTTGGGAAGAGACAGAGATGGTGATTCAGAGACTGTAGGAAGTGGAGATCTGGGAAGAGATGACACTGGACTCATAGGTTTTGCTTCAGAGCTGGAGAGATACAGATCAATAGATGCTGGTGTCAACAATGGACTAACTCTTTCATTGGTTCTGCTGACCACTGGGGCACTTGTTGGACTAGAAGACTTGATGATAGGCGAATAGGACTTTAGCCCAGTGCTTGTCAATTTGGCAGAAGGACTTCCCTCCCTGATACTACAAATGTCCCCACCTCCAGATGTGGAAGTCGTGGTTATAGTCTGAGACAGAACCACTAGAGACTCCACCTGGGAGGAGAGCAGGGAAGCAGAAACCTCAATGGAAGTATCCAAGCCCAGGTCAGGTACTGAAGAAAAATGAGGACTGGATGCTACAGGTGGAGACAGTCGAGAGGAAGGCTTTGGGACAACACTCAATGGTGGAGGCGCAGCCCCCGGTTCACCAGAATCCTCCACAATGTGCAGTTCAAAGTTTAAAGGAGGGGAGAGACCTGGGCAATATCGGCTTGGATCCGCTGGGAGGGTAGGGGACAGGGATTTGGACACGGCAGTTGTAGGGGGAGGGTGGATTACAGCAATTGTAGTAGTTTGCTCAAACATTAACTCAGAGTTCAGGGAACCCAATGAACTTGGCTGGAGGACATAAAGGAGGGACAAGGGAAAGAGGAGAAACAGAAGAGATTTACAGATTAAGGGAGGCAGAGAATGAGAAATAATTAAGAAAAAACTTTAATGAGATGTACAGAACAGCTGAGGAAAAAACAAAACATATTCTGGACAAAATGTTGAAGTAATGAGATGAAATTAAAGCTAAAAGACATAGACAAGCAGAAAAAGATTTGTAAATAAATAAAGTGGTAAAGTTTGTGATGGTCAGATGACGACCAGCCAGGGTAATGCTTCCCAACAGCGCCGTAAGCCCAAGAAGATTGTAGACACCATTGGCACCAATGGTCTCAACGATATGCTTATGACGTTTTTGGGAAACACATTTCAGATTGCCAAGCAGTAAGTCCTGAAAATAGGTCACCCAAACAACATAGTTCAGCACACATTCCCAGACACAACTCACTTACTTCTGTCCTACTAAAGCCATTCCATGTCACACATGCACACACACACTCACATTGCTCTGCACCTTAAAATCTGAGAGGCAGGCCATGAGCTCATCTAGTTCTCGTGTAGCGGAGGTGGCTGATATTCTGCCCTGCTGCTCGGAAGCTGTGTCCACCTGTCCGTCCGTCAATTTACTCGTCAGAGCACAGGGGCTTGGCCTGTTTACGCAAATTACATCATTCCATTAAAACCCACAATGTAAATCCATGTCCATCTAGAGTTGAGAGTGGTCTTACGTTGGGGAAGGCACAGAGCTCTCCAACTCATTCAGAAGACTTTCTACAGTGGGACGGCCATCTTCTGTCCCCTTCGTATCATTCCTCTGAGGCCTGTCCTGGGCTGCCGGTGTCAGTGTGATGCCTGGGTGGGCTCCATTCTCCTGGATATAGTGGGCAACACTGCAGGGCGGCAATGGAGGTGCAGCATCTTCTATAGAGAGGAAGTTTCAAAGTACAATTACTTGTTTTTTTTATGTCTCTAGCCATAATAAAAGCAGTATAAATATTCATGCATGACAATAAATTTTTTGGAATGCCTTAAGTGTGTCTTCATGTTTACCTGTGGTGGAGTATGATGGGGCATTTTGCTGTACAGCGCTGAGTTCCAGAAGAAGGCGGTCCAGTTCAGACAGGTTGCTGCCCAGGGCAGAAGTCATGGCTGCGGCTGATGAGTCCGAATGCTTCTGCTTGTTAGGAAAACTGGACCAATAGAAGTGTGCCATTTAAGGTTTCATTTTTCATAATAGCAGGTCACGGGTCAAAGGAAGGGATATTATGGTGGCTCACATCGTAGAATGACAAATATCTAATACCTATTTTACTTGGCCAATATCAGTATTAGTTTATCAGTCTTATATTATCAGTCAATTCTTACCTGTGATACTGTAACTCACCTGTAAACGTGGTCTTCTTCCGTATGCGAGGCTGGTGGACTGCTGTCCCGAGACAACGTGCTTTTATGAGCAGAGCCCAGAGACTGAATTTCAACACAAGAAAACCAAAATGCATAATTTTTATGCAAATCTATATTGCAAATGTAATACATCACTGATTCTCAACTGGCATGCCACAGTCCAAAAGGGGTTCATGTTAATAATTCTTCATATTGCTGGTTTATTTCAGTAATTTTACTAATTTTAATAAATTTCACTTTTTATTTTTTTATTATTATTTTTTTATTTTTATTTTTCTTTACTTAGTTTCATAAACTGGGGTTTCTAGGGAACTGTATTGGGTTTGTGAGTTTATGAAAAGTAAATCATTATATTAAATAAAAAAAAAAAAATAATAATAATTACATACAAAATTTAAATAAAAAATATGCAATATTTCAGCTGTTTACCAGCATGTCAAGTGACCATTATCCAGAAAATCAGTCATCTTTAATCAGAGGACCATGAACAAGTGTTGAATTATTGAAACATTAAATCAAAATCTCAGGGGAACTTCAAGTAAATATTTTAGGTCAAAGTGGCTCAGTTGACAAAAAAATTTGGGAAACCTTGACTTAATACAACAGTTCTGGTACTGTGTTTGGGTCACCACTTAATGCTCAATATAAAATCTGAGTACTAAGTAAAATAATTTGAGAATCCCAGATAAAGTATAGAACTATCAAACAGTAGTTATAAAATATTTGTACCCATTAGCAATAACAAGACACAAGGAGGTGATGTGGACATTATATGTGACTAGTTATTTTGGAAAGTCCTAAGATAGGTTGTGCTGAACCTGTTGTGAGGAGTGTTGGGAGTCCTGCTGCGGGGACAGTGATCCATTCAGGGCCTCAGCTGAGGGTGGAGGGGGCAGGGGCGGAAGAGGGGAGTCATCCTGAAAAAGGTGTCCTCCGGTGGGGTAGGAATATGGCGTCTCCTCGGGTAGAAACACTGGGCACTTGGAGATATGGGCGGTGGAAGACTCGAGATCTGCAAGCAATGCGTCTGTGCAAAAAGAAGAAACACATTTTTTTATTGCACTTTTCCTGAAGTTACTTTAAGGAAAGAATAAACTCCTTTTAAAGTTAGTCAGGTTTTGTTTTGCATGACCTTTGCTGCTCTCCCTCTGACTATCATAATATAAAAGTCTGTTTTGCTGTTCAATAAGATAGAAGGGGTTGCAATATGTCAATACTAACTACATCAAACTAATTTGTTTCAAAAGACAAAGAAAACTTTCCCTTTAAAGTAAAAAATACAAATACACTCTCATTCAAAAATCTGTGGTCGGTAAGATTTTAAAGTTTTTTAGAAAGTCTCTTATGCTCACCAAAGCTGCATTTATTTGATAAAAAATACAATAGAAACAGCAATACTGAGAAATATTATTGCAGTTTAAAATAGCTGTTTTCTATTGTAATATATAGTCAAATGTAATTTATTCCTGTGATGCAAAGCTGAATTTTCAGCATCATTACTCCAGTCTTCAGTGTCACATGATCCTTCAGAAATCATATGCTGATTTGATGCTCAAGAAACATTTCTTATTATTATCAAAGTTAAAAACAATTGTGGAAACCATGACACAATTTCTTTTTCAATATTATCTGATGAATAAGTAAAAAAAAAAGTAAATTTTTTAATCTTTTGTAAAATTCTAAATGTATTTAATGTCACTTTTGATCAATTTAATATATCCTTGCTGAATAAAAGTATTAATTTCTTAAAAAAAAAAAAAAAAAATCCTACCAACCCCAAATGTTTGAATGGTAGTCTATGTTTGCGAAGGACTATAACAATTTTCCATAATAAAAACTCTAATGCAGCTAGAGACATGATCAAAGAGGAAAGTCTCAAAGAACAATGAACAACAGGCTTAAAAATAAGACATTAGCATGATATTCCTCTCCAGCAGAGAGAGAGAGTGAGTGTCTCCAAACACAGATATGATGTTTGCTTGTTTGAGTCAGTCGGGCATTCCAACCTTTCTAAGCATTCTCAATCATGTTACTAAATACAGTCCTTCAGCAGCAGCTATATGCCAGTCCTGATGCAGCTGTAGTGCCAGAACCAAAGACCCTCACACAGGGGCTTTTCTAAACAGAAAACTGGTTCAGTTCAGTTGAAATACACAAGAGGGGTTTTAGGTAGTCCACTTTTTGCATTACATCATACAACAGCCCTTAACTACGACATTATTCAACTCGGTTCGGTTGTTGTCTCTGGGTTGTGTCAGCTGGCAGGTAAAAGCCTGTTGTGATGGACCGCAGAGACCCTGTCAACACATCCGTCACGCTGAGCTTATGTCACCACACTTTTCTGGGTCCTGCAGTAAGAGTTGAGCTATGAACACAATCTGTCCCTCAGTAACACACCCTTCAATATGAGGAACTGTGACAGAATTACAGGTGCTCAAGTCCACTACTTGGGATGAGATGCATAAAAGTTATATACACATTTAAAACATCCAACATCAAGCAGAAAACTACAGTCCGGTCTGCAAATGCGGTTGTTTCTTTGTTGAGTTTAACAGGAGCAATTAAGTGTTGAATCTTGACACCGTTGTGCCCACTTTTAGTATAGACTGGTTGTTTACAGTTGCCATACGACACATTATAGACAGAAATCAACTGTTGTGCATTTAATATTTTACAAATGTCTTTGACATCATCTAATCAAACTTAAAATGTGACTTTGTTTTCATTTTTAATTTTTAGTTTTACAAAACTGAAAAAATGTAGAAACAATTTTCACTAGAAAATTGCTAGTAAACTCCACAAAAATTAAAAGAAACGCCGAGTAACGGCATGAATTAAACATGAAATTATATATATATATATATATATATATATATAATATACAGTATATGTATGTATATAAACAAAGACTGAAATAGTATTTTCATATAAAACTTACTCCAATAAATTTTGCTTTATTTACAGTGTTGAAAAATAGCAGTTTACTTACTATTACACTGCAAAAATAAATACATAAATAGTGTAGAAACACTTTTTAGTGTAGAATCGACTTTTATTTACTAATTATTTGTGAAATTACTGGTCAATTTCACAAATAATTACAATGAAACAGAAAGTAACATTGATTTAAATGAGCAAGACTGAAAATATATTTTCTTGTAAAACGTAGTTCAATAATCTTTGTTTTATTTACAACTTAATGAAAAATAATTTTTAAAGTGTGCCAATGATAGTAGATTGTGCACTGATGTCATTAATCATTTTAATCATATGGTTTGCATCCATCATATTTAGAATAAAATGCATAATAATTAAATGAGATATAGTATCCTTTATTTGTACAGTATTTAATTCACTGGGTTATGCCAAAATAGGCATTATTTAACGGTTATTTGTTAGTGAAAACATTTAGGGTTGAATTTACAGAAAAAATAACTATTTTTTTATATACCTTTATCATTAGGCTATAGATTTTGTTATACAGTTCGCCCCTAAAGTGAATCCAGAGTTACACTTAGACATTCTGTTAACTATAAGTAACTTTGCAACTACATGTCAACTAACTCTCATTAGAGTATTAGCAGACTGTTAGGTTACGGTTAGGGTTAGTTTAATAAATTGACGTGCTTGCAAAGTTACTTATAGTCAACTGATGTCTAAAGTGTTACCAAATCGAGCCTGTCCTTTACATACAACCATGAGACCCTTCACTGAGCCGCCAACAGAAACTTTGGAAAGACAGACGGAGAGTCGGACAGAATTACAGACATACAGCTAGCCTAAAATGGCCTGATAAAGCTCTTACCTCACTCTTTTCTCATGCACCTATTCATCCATCCATCCACGCAGTCAATAATAGCCTGGACACATGCAGCCTTCACACAGCGTACAGACAGAGATCTCGTCACATGCAGAGCGGCAGGATGCTGGCGTCCTGACACAGCCAGACACCCGAGCTACTGGAACTCTTCCTCAAAGTTTACGAGTAGACGCATCAAAACCAACAGCAGACGGCTATTAAAAACGTGACGGTTGCAGATCAACTATGACGAGATGGTAAATGAACACCTAGAAAGGTCACAGATGAGTGCACGAAACACTTTAAAACTGAGAGCCACGGAGATCTTGACAGCGTTATTTAACAGACAGCTGGTGTTAGTGAACAGTCACAGGAGTATATAGTATATATATATATATATATATATATATATACAGTATAGTATACAGTATATAGTTTATGTTGTGTTGTGTTTTTTGTATTGTACACTATGCATAAATATGCATGCATGCTACTGTTACATGTAAGCTGAATATAACAAAGTTCATATGTGTATTTAAAAATGAATAAAAAGTTAACACAAAAACACACCACAAAGTAATTTAAAAAAATTCAATTGTCAACTTGTTCTAGTTACGCTCAGTTCTAAAAGAGTTTAGTGGATAGAAATGACTGATTTGATTAATTCAAAAGAACAAACCAGTCTGACTGATTCATTAGCAGATCCATCTAAACATGAATGACTTTAAAAGTTCTGCAAGCGAATCATTCTGATTCTAAATAATAGTATGCATTAATCATGGAATCAGATTTATTTCTAGAAGATCCTTATTCAGTAATCACAAACAACTAGTCATGGACATTCACTGGTCAAACAGTAAAACTGGCACAAAACATTAACTTGGTTAGTATTTTAGTAAACTTGAAGCAGCATCTAAATGTCTCTTTCTTGAATTCACTCTATTTTTAACAGTGAAATGGAGTACCGTCTGCTACTGTCCTGGCTTAGAAGTTAACCAGGGGTCAAAACGGATCACAAACACGCAATGCATTAATGCTGCCTAGCCTACACAGACCAAAGAGCAGAAAATGTGTACTCACAGAATCGAGAGAGTATTCCAGAATGTATCCCAATATTCCGTCACACCTGAGTGTGAGCGCGCGAGTGTGTGTGTGTGTGGGGGGTGAGGGGGAGGCACACACAGCAGACACCATTCATTAACCCTGTCCTGCCCTCAAACACATGCAGTGTCTAAAACGTTCTGTTTATGATTATATCCTGCATTTCAGTGAAGTCATAAGCATAAAACTATGAAATAATACAAATGGAAGTATTGGAATTATGCTGTGAATAAAAACATGCAACAAAACAATAAAAACTCATGAATTTCCAGGTGTGTTGGTTGCTTTTCATTCACTTTTCACAGTGTTAGTTAACAGACAGTTAGTGTTGGTGAACAGTTACAGGGTTCCTACAGTCACGGAAAAACTGGAAGTATCAAGAAATATTACAGTTGTTTTCATGGCTTGAAAATTTTTTTTATATATAATTTATATAATATAATTTATAATTATTTATCATTTATATAATATAAATCAAATTTTACATACATATATCTTTATATACATTCATTTTTAATATATATTTTAATATATGTGTGTGTGTGTGTGTGTGTGTGTGTGTGTGTGTGTGTGTGTGTGTGTGTGAAATATATAATATATAAGCATATATCTGTGTGTGTGTGAAATATATAGGTGAAAAGCATATATCTTATTTATTACTTTCTTTTTAAACACACACACACACACACACACACACACACACACACACACAAATA